GGCCTTGGCCGCTCCGTAGGCGCCGCCGCTCTCCATGCTGCCTGGCCCGCCGCCGCCCCGCCCGGCTTGAGCCTCCGCGGCCCCGGCCCCGCCCCGAGGGAGGGGCCCGGCCCGGCCGCGGCCATGGCAGGGCGCGGCCTGGCTCCTCTCCGTGGCGGGGCCGGGCCCCCTGGGTCCGCCCGTGCCCTGCGGCCTGGCCCCGGGGCGGGCACACACTGCCCGCCCGCCCTAAAGGCCCCGGCCGGGCAGAGCTCCCTGATGCCGGTGCCGGCAGAGCCGGGGGCCGCCGGGGTCTGGCGGGCTGAAAATAGGGCGACCAGACAGCAAGTGTGAAAAATCAGGGGGTGGGGGGGGCAATAGAAGCCTATATAAGAAAAAGACCCACAAATCGGGACTGTCCCTATAAAATCAGAACATCTGGTCACCCTGGGAGAAAACGGGGGGAGTTTCAGTCCCAGCCCTGACCAGGAGTCGGGGTGCGGGCAGGCTGCTCTATCAGGAGCGCTCTCCCAGCGTCACTGATTTTTCTTTTTCCAGAGCATGAGGGAGGGAGTTGATGTTCCCATCCTGCAGGGTGTGTGGCCCCCAGCCCTGTGCCTTCCCCAGAGCCCTCCGCACACACCTGTAGTGAAGAACAGCCTCACCCGACACATAGGTGAACAGGACAAGATGGGGAAGCGTCAACATGGCTCTTGTAAAGGGAAATCTGCCTCCCCAAGCTATTACAATTCTTTGAGGGGGTCAACAAATGGGGACAAGGATGATCCAGTGGATATAGGGCACTTGGACTTCAGAAAGCCTTTGACAAGGTCCCTCACTGAAGGCGCTTAAGCAAAGTGAGCAGTCATGGGATAAGAGGGAAGAGCCTCTCAGGGATCAGTAACTGGGTACAAGCTAGGAAACAAAGGCTAGGAATAAATGGGCAGTTTTCACAGAGGAGAGAGGTGAATAGCGGGATCTCCCACCGATCCGTATTGGGACCAGTGTTGTTAATTTATTCATAAATAATCTAGAAAATGGGTAAACAGTGAGGTGGCGAAGTTTGGTGATGATACAAAATTACACAAGATAGTTAAGTCCAAAGCTGACTGTGAAGAGTTACCAAGGGATCTCACATAAGTGGGTGACTGGGTAACAACTTGGCAGATGAAATTCAATGTTGATAAATGTAAAGTAATGAGCATTGGAAAACATAATTCCAACTATGCATACAAAATGATGGGGTCAATATTAGCTGTTACCACTCAAGAAAGCAATCTTGGAGTCATCATAGGTATTCTCTGCAAACATCCGCTCAATGTGCAGTGGCAGTCAAAAAAGCAAACAAACAATGTTGGGAATCATTAGAAAAGGGATAGCTAATACACCTGAAAACATCATAATCCCACTTTATAAATCTCTGGTACACTCACATCTTGAATACTGCATACAGTTCTGATCACCCCATCTCAAAACAGATACATTGGAATTGGAAAAGGTGTGACGAGGGGTATGGAACAGCTTCTATGTGAGGCAAGAGTAACAAGACTGGGACTGTACAGTTTAGAAAAGACAACCAAGGGGGATACAATAGAGTCTGTACAATCATGAGTGGTGAGGAGAAAGTGAGTAAGGACCTGTTATTTATCCCTTCACATAACACAAGAACCAGGTGTCACCCAATACAATTGATAGGCAGCAGGTTTTATTCAAACAAAAGGAAGTTCTCCATACAAGGCAGTCAACCTGGAGAAACTGTTGCCAGAGGATGCTGTGAAGGCCAAAAGTGTAACTGGGTTAAAAAAATAACTAGTTCCTGGGGGCTAGGTCAGAGGTGGGCAAACTTTTCGGCATGAGGGCCACATCTGGGAATAGAAATTGTATAGTGGGCCATGAATGCTCCATCTGGGGGTGCGGGCTCTGGGGTGGGCCTGGGGATGAGGAGTTTGGGGTGTAGGAGGGTGCTCTGGGCTGGGACCGAGGGGTTCGGAGGGTAGGTCAGGGTTGAGGCAGGGGTGTGGGGCAGGGATGTCCTTTCTGGACAACTGAAAGCACACCAGCTTCCAGAGCTAAGGGACAACAGGAGCCTACATGTCCCCAGAGGGGTCCCCACCCACCAATACAGGCCTGGTCTGTTGGTCCCTGAGCGACTGCTGTATCCACGCCACCCCCAGCAGAGCAGCGAGCATGGACTGTGACTGTCATGGGGCCGAGCAGCACTGGATGTCCTGCCCACAGAGGCCATGGCTGACGGAGCCTAGCGCGTGCCTTGACTGGCCCAGGCGTGCGATCTAAGGGCTAGAGGAAACACCTGGAGGCTGTCTGTGGAACTAGGCAGATCGCCACGTGCTGCTGCTGCTAACAGACCCTGCTGCACACTCCCGACACCTGGCCTTGCTCCCGGCTCCACGCCTGACGCCCTGCTTCTCTTCCACGAACCCTACTTCAGCGGCTCCTGGGCTCCAAACTGGTGCGGCTCATCGACCTCGACTGCGACCTACGGCAAGACCCTGTTGCAGATGCTATTCCTCTCCTTGACCCTAGACTGCACTTGGGCCATGTCGCCTCCAACCCAGGCCCTGACCTCAACCCGACCCTGTAGCCTGGGTCCTTATGGCCCCAAACTGGGCCTGTACCTGAGCATGATGAGACGTGGGAAGCAGAAGGCATCGGACCTGGCATATTGTAGGCCGAGCTGGGCTGAGGGGGGCAGGTGGGTTGACACAGCCTCTGCCACCACCTGCCAGGCAGCTGTGTAGTTGGCAAAGAGGCTGCAGGCCCTGGAGGAAGGGACCCGTCAGTGGTGTCTGAGAGCAGAGCTGCAGGGGTGGTGATGGGCAAGGGGTGGGCGCTGCCTGCTCCCCATTGATGTCCCCGGAGCAGTGCCCTGCCCAGGGGCTGCCCTCGCGCACCTTGCGATGACGTAGCCCAAGGAGGCCGACACCATGATCAGGCCCAACAGCAGCATCCGCTGGAAGAGTCAGTGGAACTGGATGCACGAGAGTCTCGGGGAGGGTCTGCAATCCCTGTACAGAGTGTGCTGGGGGGAGAGAGGGTCACAGGAGCCCTGCACTCCCCGCCTACCCCCACGCCCGGTGCTGGGCCAGCCCTCGTCCCCCCCTTCCCAGGCACTGGGGTCTGTCCCTACCGCCCTGACTCCCAGCCCCTGGCCTCTAGGAGGCTAATGGCCACAGGCTCGGCTGTATTTTGGTTCCCTTCCTGGAGCTGGAGCTGGCTGGGACTCAGGAGCAGCAGGGCAGACAGAAGGCTCAGCAGAGATGGGGTCTGTCTTGGGGTTACACTGCAGGATTAGCTCCCCTGCTCACCTCACAGTCTGAGACACACACTGGCCCCAAGCACTCTCTGATCACAAGGGAGACGGGGGTGGGGCCCCATGGGGTACATGCCAGAACTGCCACCTGCACAGCCCCAGAGGTGTGGACTGGGGACTGGAGAAGGCCACCGTACCCTCAACCTCATTCAGAGACTTCCAGAGCTGGCAGGTCCCTGCCAGGTTCTGTGCTCCCTCCCAGAATCGCTGCTCTTGCCTCCAGGACCCCAGCAGGACCGGTCTCCCTCCTGGGATGCTCTCAGCTGCCTGCTGGAAGGAGATGGAATTCAGTTCCTGTAGCAAAACCCACGGGGGTTTCACGGGTGCTGCTGGGAGATCTGCCCACGAAGCATTGCTAGCCATCCCTGCTCTGTCACTACCACGGCCCCATGCCCGCTGTGTCCCAGGCCGGTGAGACCCTTGTCCAGCCGTGGCCGGAGGTGGGGGGCTCTCACATCCTAGGGCCCCTTGCCCAGGGGTGGACAGGACGATGAGACGCGCAGCTTTAGCCCCATTTGACGAGCAGGAGGCTAAACCCTGCTGTCCAGCCCATGTGATGCTGTTGCAGTCAGGCCCTGACCTAAGCAGGTGCTTCTCCTGTATAGAGCAGCAGTCTGTCCTGGCCCCGTCAGGACCCCAGCTTGGGCCTCCCAAGGGCCCCTTTCACCCCCAAATCAGCCAGAACTAGCCTAGCTGTTGCCGCACCTGCCCCTTGGGCTCCTCTCCCCGGTTGTTTTCGGCCGTGGCTGAGGAGGAGCTGCGAGCTCAAGTCCCAGCCCGTCCAGACACGTCACTGCGGCCGCTAGGACGGTCGCTTGCTGCTCACCTTCCGAAAGAGAAAGTGACTCACTGCTCGCCCTGCCCACGCCCCGGCACTGATGCCTCTCAGCCAGCTCTGGCTCTGGCTCCTCCAGGGACAAGGGAGGTGCCCGAACCACAAGCCCCGGCCCTGGCCCAGGTCCTGCACTTACTTGTGGTGTGATAACAGCCCTCAGCTGGGCTGATGAGTTACTGATAGCGCCTCAGGGCCATGTGACAGGAACTATGGCCCCCCACTGTTTCCTTTGCCGCCTACAAGGCAAGATACCAGGGTGATGCATGAAACCAAACTGCAGCCAAGGGCTTGTGGTGCTGAGGGCAGAGCCCGGGCGGCCCTAGGGGCTTGTGCAGTCTGCTGCGGGGGAGGGATGAGTGGCATCAGCTGGAGGGGGCAGGGCCAGGTTTACCTTTAAATCCTTCTCTCCTCTTGAACTGGGGAGAATGGTGATTAGTTTTCCCCAGGGGATTACACCCTTCCCGAGCCCTGTTTTGGGTATGGGCATCTGCAATCTCTGCAGCCTGTAGGACTGACTCAGGGTCCCTATCACACACAGCTGCTCTCACATGGTCAGGCACAATGTCTAAGAACTGTTCCAAAGTTATTAAATCCAGCAGTTTTTCAAAACTCCCATGCGCCTTGGCTCCCATAACCCACTTTTTAACAAAACCCCTCAACTTATGAGCACATTCTACAAAAGTACAATCATTAGACATCTTAAACTTTCTAAACTTAACTCTGTAAGAATCAGGAGTAACCTTGAACTGCCTTAACACAGAATCTTTAAACCCCCCATAATCCAAGCCTTCTTGTTCCCCCAATTCATTAAATACCTCCCTGGCTTTTCCAGTCAGTCTGGTCAGCAGGACAGGCATTTGCTGATCATCAGGGATCTGGTACAGATTGCAGAGGTGTTCAAAGGTAGACAAAAACTCCTCTATATCCTCAGTATCGTTGTAAATGGGACACATCCTTTCCCAGTTTTTCTCATGGTGGTGGGGAAGTGGAGTACCAAGTGGTGATGACTTTCTCTGCTCTTCCACTACTTGGAGCTGAAGTTTGGCCGTCTCCTGTTCAGCAGCGAGCAGCTCCAGATGCCCCTTACGAGCTTTTTCTTCTAATTCAGCTATTTTTTGCTTTTCCAGCAATCGAAGATCTGCTAGTTTCTGTTCATGCTCCTGTTGCAGTTTATTTGCTGCCTTTTTCATTCTAATGGCTTCTGCAGTTTCTGTAGTATCAGGTAAGGGCTGTGCTCCTGCCTCCTGATCACTGGCCATTAACAGATCTTTCAGTTCTTGATTTGTAGCTTTCTTTCTAAAGCTTATCCCCTTTTCTGAACACAAATCTTCCAGGGCTTTTTTGTCAAGGCCTCATATGCTCTTTGCTCATCCATTGCAACTGCTCTTTAACCAACCAAACTCTCAATACCAAAATTCAAATGTGGATAGCGTGGGGTTCTGACCCAAAGCTTAATTGACCTGGTTCTGTGGATCCTGCCGACTACGCCACTGTGACGGTGCTGTCCGTGGGACCCAGCTGAGGTCACTCAATCAGGGTGAACTGCAAACAAAACAGGGCAGACAAACCCCAAAAGCTGGTGGTTATTCCCAATACTTAGATTTACCAAGCCAGCACAAAACAGCTTCTATAGTACCTCACTGGTTATTTAGAAGTTCAAACAACGCAGTTCCCTTAAAGTACCCGGCCTCCATCCAGACACACACGTCAGATATGATGATGATTACTGAAAATCTTACTTCATCATATAAAAGAAAAGGTTCTTCCAATCCCAAAGGATCAGCCACATACCCAGGTTTAATTATAACTTAGGTCTTACCCAAAATACACGCTAATAGCCAATTCTTATTAACTAAGCTAAAATTTATTAAAAAAGAAAAGAGAGAGAGAGTGTTGGTTAAAAGATCAATATACAGACAGACTTGAATTCAATTCTTGAGGTTCAGATACATAGCAGAGGTGATCTTGTAGTTGCCAAAAGTCCTTTTAGAAATAGTCCATAGGTTATAGTCCAATGTCCATATTCAGGGTGACTCCAGTCAGTGACTGGGGATCTCAATCCTTGTGGCTTAAGGTTTCCCCCTCTTGAAACCCAAAGCAGATCTGAGATGCAGCAGGATTGTGTCCCAGGGTTCTTATACGTTTCCAGCAGCCTTTCGGCCTGAGAAAACAATAGGCTTAATTCTCCTTCCAAACATCCTGGCAATTAGCATAGGGTTATTTATACATTAAACAGTTTAGTTACAGGTTACCACAACCTTCAAAGAGACATACAGACAATAATACTATTTCACTCAAGTATTATTATAAATGTTAATATTCCTTTTTGATCTTTGAATTAAAGTGATAGCAATAGACAAGACTTGTTTGCTTACATCACAAGCCCTGAGCAAACATCTACCCTTTTACCTCTAACAATGCATTTCAAAAGCTCTATTCATTTACATATCTTCCTAACCTGTTTCTACAGTTCACCCATGGGTCAGGTCAGTTGGTGAGTTAATTAACTTTTCCTGGCCCTGTCATCTTCCAATGAAATATTATATTACACTCCTAACGTCACAGTCCCCAACAGATGAGACCTTCTGGGAACGCTCCCAGTGTGCTGACGTGAGTGACGTGCAGGAAACGGGTTCTCATGATGCCTGGGAAATGCTGTGCTCTGAGCAGGAAGCATGCACAGTGCACTGGGGCCAGGCTCTGAGCTCGGGAAGGCGCGTGGGAGAACAGGCTCTGAGCTCACCCCTGCCCGTGGCTGCTGGGGGGAAGAGGTGCTGAGCTCGCCCATACCCATGGCACACCATGGACAGGCACTGCCCTGGCAGAAGGGAGGGAAGGCAGAGGAGAGATGTGCTGGCCACACATCTCCCCGCCTGCAGTGGCCAGGCGCAGCTGATCACGGATGCAGCACCGGGGCGGGGTGGGAATGCTCCAGAGCATGGGGGCCTGCTGGGGGAAGCAGCGCTCGCTCCCAGGGCCCATGCTGTGTCTTTGGGGAGAGGGATCCTGGGACGGGGCTTTCCCAGCTGAGCCGACTTTCAGTGAGTGTCCCTCGAGGGGAACCACACAAGGGGCACCAGAGGCCCCAAGGGGAGAGTCCTGCCCCCAGACAGCCAGGGCCGATGGCCAGCCTCCATTTTGAGCCTTCATCCTGACCCCTATTTTGATGGCTACACTGCAGCTTGCCTGCCCGAATGTGGGAAATCCCTGGGACCGCTGGGCCCTGGCCCCCGCTGAGGCTGGGCGAGGCAGGCCTGGAACACACCCGGGGAACTGCCGAGTCCTTTGCTGCATGCGGAGCTAAGACTAAAATCATATTGTGCCCTCCAGGTGGACACCACAGGCAAAAGACTACGACTCCCAGCATCCTCTGCGTTCCAGGTGAGGGGAGGAATGTGGGCTGGCTCCTGTCCAGCTGGATGGTTCTCTCTGTGCTTCGCCCCTTGCAGAGCAGTGGGCTCCCCACCCAGGGCTGCCCCCGAGGGACGCTGCTGCGGGCAGGTGAGTGAAGCTGAGAAGGGGGATTTGCAGCTGACATGGGCTCTGCAGAAACAGCTGGTCTGAGGCCAGGCTCCTTGAAATGCCTCCAGCCCGGGGCAGTAGCACCACACTGCCAGCGTGCCCCAGCTCCACCCCGAGCGCGCGGGGCTGGGTGCCACGGGCAGCCAGGGCTCACTCAGCCCTGGGGTGACTTGGGAAGAAGCTATGGGGTGGGGTGGGAGGTGTGCATGGACTTTGGAAAGCAAAGAGAGCTGGGCTGAGCCCTGAGAGTGGAGTAGGGGCTGCCCTCCTCCCGCCCTTA